AAAATTTTCTTCTTCCATTTTGGATTATTATTATTATTATTTTTTTTTTTTTACTCAGATCATGACGAAGGAGTTCACCTTGCACCAAACTTCCGATGTCAAAGACCTCATGTTGTTGTTGTTGTTGTTGTTTTATTATTATTATTATAGCCCACGCGTCCTCTCAGGATATAACATTGCTAATCTCAGGAATTTCCCTTCTTTTATATGGAGAAGTAAAAAATTAAAGTTCATCCACCTCGGTTAATAATAATAATAATAATAATTTTAATTACTTTAATTTTTTTTTTTTTTTTAAATTTTTTTATTCTAATATTTGCATCACAATAATTATTATTAACACAACATGTTTGGTGCAAGATGAAGACAAAAAATAAAAAAATAAAAAAGCAAAATGTTTTGAGTGTGTGTGAGAGAGAGAGAGAGAGAGAGGGAAGGGAAATAAGTAGACATTTTTTTTTTTTTTTTTCCAGAATTTTATTTCTGTCGATTGAAATTTCGCAAATCATTCACCGAATGATAAATAATTACAAAAAGATCTCTTTATATGTATTTATGTAAACATATGTTTCCCCCAGTTCCCCTTCCCATCCCCCAGCTCCCCCACCCTTCCTGCCGAACCACGAATACTAATTAATAATAATAATAATTAAATCGAATAAATTATTGATCAATCAAAGAGTTTTTGTTTTTTTTTTTTGGAAACAAATTTTCTAACTATTATGTTACGATAATAGTATTCGTGTTTATTTACAAATGTATAGAAATATTATCATTATGTGTGAAAAATTTAAAAATTTATGTAGTGGTCACGTCAGCCATATTGAATTATGATTAACTACTTACTAATGATACTCTTAATCGAAATAATTTTAAATTACAACAAAAAAAAGAAGAATCGTAATTAATTATTATTATTATTATTATTATTATTATTATTATTATTATTATTATTATTATTATTCTTTTACTATCTTTCCCACCTTGTCGTTTACTAATAAATAAATAAATTATTATTATTATTATTATTATTATTATTATTTAATTGTTTGTAAAAAAAAAAAAAAATTGGAAATTTAAAATTATAACGCAAAATGTTTTTCTCTCTCTCTCTCTCTCTCTCTCTCTCTTTCAAAGTTTGTTTGTTTGTTTTTGTTTGTTTGTTTGTTTTATAATTAATGAATTATATAATTATCGGTTGTTTTAAAATTTTTTTTCTGAACGAAAACAAAAACAAAAAAAAAAAACAAAAAAAATGGTTTTTCTTTTTATTTTACAACATGTGACGCATTTTTTTTTTTTTTTTTTTTTTTCGGGGAGAGGGGAAACATAAACACAAAATTTATTTTTCTAAAAAAAAAAAAAAAAAAAGGGGGGAAATTTCTATTATTTTGAATTCGAAATCAAAAACAACGATGATAATAATAATAATAATAATAAAATCAAATATTTTTAATAAATTAATTGACACAAACAAAAACAAAAAAATGGACTTTAAATCAAATTAAATTTATTATTATTATTATTATTATTAGGGACTTATTTAATATATATATATATATATATATATATAGCATTGAATTTATTTGATTACGTCACATTTTTTAATAACAAAATCTAAAATTATATTATATATATATATATAAATAAATATGTGTATAGAATTATTAAAAATAAATCGACAGCATCACACACACACACACATACATACTCCAAAAATTTTCCTGTAGTTTTTATTATTTTAATTTTTCAATTAATTAGTTTAATTAATAATAATAATAATAATAAAACAACAACAACAACAACAACTGTATATATATAGCAAATGACATAATCACAATCGTCGTTTGTCGTTTGTCGGTTTCTGTTGTTGTCGTCGTCGTCTTTTGTTCTTCTTCATTTTTTATTTTATTATTATTATTATTTATCATTATTATTAAATTATCATCATCATAATTATTGTTTTATTATTATTATTATTATTTATTTTTTTTTTTATTATATATATATATATAAATAAATAAATAAAAAAAAATTGAAAAATAAATAATTTTTTCACCTGTGATTAGTAATTGATCTCAATATTATTTACTGTAAAAAAAAAAAAATTAATAAATAAAAAATTAATAATAATAATAATTAATAAAAAATTATTAATAATAAAAATGTACTGTTAATTTTTTATATATTCTTGTTTCAATTTTTTTTTTTTTGTTTGTAAAAATAAATTTTTTCTTTTTTTAATTAATAATTAATAATTGTAAAGGAAAAAAGGAAAAACAATAAGTATACTTACTTTTTCTCTTGGAAGAGAAAGGTTAATAATAATAATAATAATAATAATAATAATTTGATAAATAATCAATGGATCGAAACAAGAAATCAATTGTATCAGAATAATAATAATAACAAAGGAAAAAAAAAAAAACAAAAAAAAAAAATAATAATAATAAATAAATCAAATCTAACATTATTAATAGTTTAATAATAATAATAATATTATTATTTGTAATTATAGTAGATAATTAATTATTAAGAACAATTTTTTTTTAATTATTTAATTAATTAATTAATTAAAACGGTGAAATTGTGGATGTGGAGGAGTAGGAGGAGAAGGGGAGGATTGTGTTTATATAGAAATTTTTTTTTTTTTTTTGTGTCGTACGATTGATATTCAATATAATAAATAATTAAAAAAAAATTATTTAATTAATTAATATTTGTACAAAATTAATTTTGTTTGTTTTTTTTCCAACCCCCTTCCTCCCTTTCTACCCCTCTCCCCTATCCCTTCGTCACGTACACGATTTTGTTAATTTGTTCTCATAATGATAATAATAATGTTGAAAACATATTTGGGTGTTTCCATCTTCTTCTTCTTCTTTGTTTTTTTATTTTGATTCTTTTGCAAGTTTGAACATGAAAGAAGCAGAAGACAAAAAAATATTCAAAGATGATCACCAAAAGATGATGATGATGATGATGACTAGTTGATGTTGTTAATGTTAAAACGATTTTTATGACTAAAAAAAATTTTTGTGTAGGAAGTCAATGTGTCTGTCTGCCATGAAAAATTACTTTTCAATTATAATGATAATAATAATAATAAAAATGAGAGTTCGTCATTCATTAATTAATTTATTTATTTAAGCGCAAATAATAATAATAATGATTTTTTTTTAAGGAAGGTATATGAGAAATTGTATAAAAAAAAATTCATGCAAACCGCATCATGTTGAAAGAAGAAAAATTTTTTTTTTTTTTTCCCACAGGAGTAACCTTGTCGCCATATCAAAAATCGTGTGTGAAAATTATTATTATTATTATTTAATTGTAAAAATTTTAATAAATTATTTAAATCAAAAAAAATTTTATTCACAAAGTTTTTATTATTTAATTCACGGTTAATATTAAAGTCGTTAAAATGTATGAATGAATGAATGAATGAATTTTTTTTATTAATAAAAAAAAAATTTTAAATGACACAAAAAATTTCTTCTTCCTTCCTGTTTCTCTCTCTCTCTCTCTCTCTCTTTCTCTCTCTCTCTCACACACATATTGAAATTTAAAAGGTTCATTTATTTTAACTTTTTTGGTTCTCATATTTTTTA